GCACAAGGCTCGTTAGCGTCCCCAAGGGGAGGTGATAGAGGACGTGCGAGAAGGGGCTCAGCAGGCAGGGCAGCACCTGCGGAGAGAAGAGCAGGCACCACGTCCCGTCTCACAGCCCCCAGGAGGAGGGCAGCGGGCCCTGCCCAGCCGTGCACCCCTCCAACAGCACAGGCCAAAGGGGAAACTTCCCGCTTGAAATCCAGGCTTTTTTTTTTTTTTTTAAATAATCTCCTTTCTCAATGCTAGCTGGGGTTTATTTCACAGATGCCTTGATTTTTGTTTCATATGGGGAGGAAAAGTAAAAAAAATAAAAAGACTGCAAAGAATATGTGATAACACATCCCTCTGAAACTCCGAGCTGCTGGCCTCTGCTTTCTGCCTGTGGAAGATGGAGTTTCCTGCTGCCACCTGATGAGCCAGAGAAGCAGAACCTTTAGCCAAGTCCTCTCTTTGCAAACACTCAACAAAGAGGGGGCGTTATTAAATGAAGGCCCCAGCCATGAGACGCCCTCCCCGCTTCCTTCCCGTCGCAGCCAGTCCTGGCTGTGCCACCTCGCCGTGTCCCCCGCCCCGCAGGGACAACTGCTGCTGACCAGAGCCTCCCAGCCCGCCGCGGTCACCTCGTCCTGAGCATCCTTCTTGATGAGGAAGGGCAGGTTCCTGGCCGTAGCCATGAGGACATCAGCTGCTTGCTCTGGTGACAAGAAGGGGAGGATCCGGGCCACAAGGCGCTTCCCCTTGCGAATGCACATGATCTGTACGAAGTGGTCGTCGCTCGGCCTGCCGAGGAGAAAAGTGCCACCCACCTGCTGGGAAGGGCTCGGGGTAGCCGGGATGTCCTTGAGGAGCAGCCCAGGGCCCACAAGAAGCGTGTGCTGGAGGGAAGCAACGCAGGGAATGATGCCCCGTGGCCAAACGCTGCCCCAGGACAAGCCTTTGAGCTGCCGCGTCCCGGCTGCAGTGCCGAGCTCGGGTCCCCCAAGCCAGGAGTGCAGCACGAGCTGTCCCTGCGCCCGTGAGGACAACGCGCAGCGACCTGCCTTTTCTCC